TGAATGCATCCTTTCCTGTTTCCAGTCCAGGTGGCTCATCCTAAATAGCTGCAAGCAGTTGCCTTCAATTTTGCCTTCAACAGACAGGAAGACCAATAATTTTCCCATTTCCAGCAGTCCATCTTTTCTCTGCTTTGCTTTTGAGGGATTTTTCAGCAGGCAGCCTCTCGAGACATGGAGATGAGGAGCTCTTTGAGATTTTCCTTCTCTTCCCAAAAGAGAAGAGTCCCATGGATGAAGCCCCAGCCTGATCCATGAAGCTCAGGGGGATGATCTGTGGAGAGGCAGCTGCTCCCACAGGGCCAGCCCTTTTTTATTTCCAAAAGATCAAAAAGAAACTGAAATGTGAATTGGCACTTTCCTGAGTGCAGCCACTTGGATTCCAGCACAAAGAAGGCACAGGCCACTTGTCAGATCCTTGCCAAACCCTTCAGACAAGTCCACGTTGTCTGTGTGTTGGTTTGAGGCTTCTTCAAAGGTGCTTAGATGCCACTTTGTACGTCTAATTTTAGGTGCTCACCCCCTTGTGGTGTAACCCGCAGCCCCAGATGAGTTATCCCAGCTCCTTCTGGAGCACCTGGGAGTTCTCCACCACCACCAGGAGAGCTGGACCATGCAAAGCCAGTCATGGGTCTCAAATCTCACTCTTCCTCTGTTATTTAGGCTGTGTTGGCTCCCTCTCTCCCCAGAACAGAGTGGCTGCACCCAAAGGGACCCTTGGGGATTGTCCTGTTCCATAATAAGTCCTGAACTCTTCCCTAGTTACAGCAATTTAAGAGTAGAGGTCACAGAGTCATGGAATAGTTTGGGTTGGAAAGGACCTTAAAACTCATCCCATTCCCCTGCCGTGGGCAGAGACACCTTCCACTGTCCCAGGTTCCTCCAAGCCCCATCCAACCTGGCCTTGGACACTCCCAGGGATGGGTATTCTACAGCTTCTCTGGGCACCATGTGCCAGGAGCTCCCCACCCTCACCATGAGGAAATTTGGTCCTGCATCATTGTTTAAATTCACTCAAGCACTTGCTCAGCCAATATCAGCATCCCAAATGGAAATAAAAGTGCTTAATATCTAATAAAATAAATCTGACCAACAGGACACAGGTGTTTTATTATTTCCCAGGAAGGACCACCAGACTTTTGTGTTCCTTTTCAAGTCTTTCCTGCATTCTGGCTCACACCCCTCAGATTTCAGTGCCAAACTGGTGAGTTTGAGACAGAAATCTCATTTTTCCTAAAAGGACAAAGTTAGAACTGTTCTAAGATGTTCCCGTTGATAGGGTTGTACTTTAGCCATACTTAGGAGGGAGAGGACTTTGAGTGCTTGATTTTATAACTTGTAAAACCTGGCAAATTTCAAAAACAAAGAGCAAAGTGTGACCCCCCTCCAGTCCTCGAGTCTGTCACCATCCCTGGGCTGCTGATGGCTTTTCTCTCAGCACAGACGAGGAGCTGCCACACTTGACAGTGCAAAGGCAAACACAAGGGCACAGAGGAGGCAGGAGGAGCTGGGGAGGGAAATGCTCCAGCCCCAGGGCAGCTCAGCACAAGCTGAGAGCTGCAATTTGCTCCTACACCTCCACAGAGCCTCTCAGCACAAAAACAAGAGCAGTTTGCATGTCTGAATAAATCAGCTTCTTGGGGCCAGGCTCTCAGCAGGTCCCAGCTGGCATGGCTGGCTGAGGCTCTGTGGGCTTGTGTCAGTCCTAAAAACCTGGCCAGGGTCTGGGACAGGTCACCTCAGGTGACAGGCCAAGAAAAGCAGATGGACAATAAAACCTTGGCTTTGTCTTTTGCTTCACTTCTCAACGTGAGCAGCCTGAAGCCAAATCAGAGCATTCTGGAGACACAGAGGAAAATTCCTTGCAGTGTCAGATGATGACTTTTGTGCAGATTGGGAGTAAAACAGATAGGGCAAGAGGGAATGGCCTCAAGTTGCACAAAGAGAGCTTTAAATCGGACATTAGGAAAAATTTCTTCAGCAAAAGGATTGCCCAGGCCTGGCACAGCTGCCCAGGGCAGAGGAGGAATCCCCATCCCTGCAGAGATTTGAAAGCTGTGTGGATGTGTCTTGGGGACATGGTTTAGTGCTGGCCTTGGCAGTGCTTGGACTCGATGATCTTAGAAGGTTTTCCCAACCTAAACCCTTCTATGACAGCACCAAATTTATTCTCCTGTCTCTGCTGCTTTTGGCTGAGATAGAGTTAAATCCAGAACTGGGTTGTCTCGTACCAATTGCCTGTTGGGAACAGTCCCCAGCGTTTGCAAACTCCTGAAGCTCCAAGTGCTTGGCAGGATGTCCCTGGGACAAGCCAGAACCATTCCAGGCTGATGCTGCTGAAACAGCCCAGCCTGAACACGCTGGGAGCTGTGTGAGGGCTGGGGGTGATGGAGCTGCACACTCTGCATTTCATTCCAAAAGGAAAAGGCTGCTGCACTTCTTTCCTGCATGGAGAGAACCTCCACATTCACCAGCTTTGCCCCTTCATTGGATAGGTGAATGCTCCAGACCCTAAATAACCATATTGTGGAATCACAGAATTGTGCAGTGGTTTGGGTTGGAAGGGACCTTAAAGCTCATCCAGTTCCACCCCCTGCCATGGGCAGGGACACCTTCCACTATCCCAGGTTGTTCCAAGCCCCATCCAGCCTGGCCTTGGACACTTCCAGGGATCCAGGGGCAGCCACAGCTTCTCTGGGAATCCCCACCACCAAGAATTCCTTCCCCATTTCCTGTCTAAGCTGCCCTCTGGCAGTGGGAAGTCATTGACCCTTGCCCAAAGTTCATCTCCATTTTTCTTATAGGCTCCTTGAGGAACTGAAAGGCCACAATTAGGTCATCCTGAAGTCTTCTCCAGGCTGAACACTCCCAGCTCTCCCAGCCTTTTCTCACAGCAGAGCTGCTCCATCCCTCTGCTCATCCTGGTGCCTCCTCTGGGCTCTCTCCAGCTCCTCCCTGTGCTGGAGTCCGGATCTGGAGGCAGCTCTGCAGGTGGGGTCACACCTGAGAGGGGCAGAATTCCCCCTCCCTGCTGCCCACACAGTGGGATCAGCCCAGGATCTGGTTGGTTTCTGGCTTTCATCCTAATGTGGAGCCTTCCTGATGGCTTTGCTACCACAACACGAGCAACAGCAAAGAAAAATCTTGTCTGTGTTGGGATACTTGGAAACTTGTTCCTTTATTTGACAAAAAACCTGCATTTCACCCTTGAAATGTAATGTGAAATGCACCTTTTGGTTCCAGCACAGTGTGATGGGATGGTCTGGCCGTGCTCCCTCTGCCTGCTGGCAGCTCTTACCCACACTCGTGCCTCCAGCACTGCTTTTTCACCCCGTGGTCAGTCCAAAAAAATTGTTCTCTCTTTTGGGGAAATTGTTCTAAATTACCAGTCACATCCAGATCCAGCAAAGACCAGTATAATTAAGTGGCTGGGAAATGGAAAGTGAGGAACAATTAGGGTTTGCTTGGCCTTTTCTTGTCTTTCATTTAAACTTTAAATTTTTGACAGATGGTGGTTTAGGTACCACACCCTAGTCTAAGGGGTAGAATCAGACTCTGAGATAATTTGTACCTCCATCATGGGCAGAGATTGAAAGAAAACCCCGAATCTTTTAAAATCCAGGGTTCTCAGAAGGAAAATCTTCTTGCTCTCTTTGATCACTTTGAGATTCGGGGTTTACATCAAGCGTGAATTTAAGATTTCACTCAGATTCAGGTCACAGATCTGGAGCTGAGGTTTCTCCAGAGCACTGAGGGGTTGTAGGGGATCATCTCAAAGCTGTTCCTAATAGTCCTGAATTCCTGAAAGCCACGGCCCTGAGGAACAAAGCCAACAAATTGCAATTTCCAGAACCACCTCTGTAAATAAATCCTCTGGGGACCGGTGGAGTTGGGTGAATGCAGCAACAAAAAATTGACAAATCAACATTATCTGAAGCAAAAGTCGCAAAGAAATCTTTAAAACTGTTTTTCATTTTTGTCAGAAGTTTTCCCTCAAAGATTTCAGTGCCTCTCAAAAAACAAAGTGTCTGCACAGGGACATTTTCACAAGTGTTGGCCACAAATGATGTCTCAGCCCCTGTTGCAAATATTCCTGCTGCGACTCACAGGAAAAATTGCAACTGGGCAACAGAAACAAAGCCACGTGTCATGAGTCACTTCCAGTGATTTGGGCCAAGTAATGAAGACTTTTCATGCCAGTGAGGAGAAGGGAAGGATGCAGAAGGGAAGGATCCCTGGGAAGTGTCCTTTTGGTGCCTGATTGTTTCTACTCTTGTGAAAAACACCTGAGCTCAGTCTCCAGCTCTGACTTCAGCTGCCCTGACAGGGACACATCCATCCTATCACCCTCCAGAAAATCAGAATATCCTGAGTTGGAAGAGACCCACAAGGGTCATCGAGTCCAACTCGATGCACAGGACAACCCCAAAATCACTCTACGTGCCTGAGAGCATTTTCCAAACGTTTCTTGAACTCTGTCAGGCTTGGTGCATCCTCCTGGGAATTATCCCCAGGCTGTGCTGATTCCTGAGCTTGGCTGGGAGCTGAGTCAGGCCCAGGATAAATTTATTCCAAAGACCATGATAACAAAATGCCAGAGAAAAGGTGAATTCCAGCCCTGTGCCCTGGCTCTCTGGATTTTCCTAGCACAGGTTCCTAGAAAAGAGAAAAGCATTTTTGTCCTCTCCTCCTCTATGAAACATCCAGCACATAACCACCAGAAATAAACAGATGTGTGAGACAGGGCCCAAGGCTGGGATGGGAGGATGACTGAAATGTGGACTGGATTTGAATCAGGAAAAAGGCAACAGAGGATGGATCTGGAAAATCCAGGTGTGGAAAAAGGCAATGAGTGATGGGAAACACAATGGGAAAATGAGTGATGGATTGTTGCCTTTCCACCTGGGGCTGAAGGCAGGTAGGAACAAGGAATTTCCCCACTCCTTCATTTTTTCATCTCTCTTGAAAATTTGTGCTAACAGGGACAGGCAATCACTCACCAGCTCCTTCCTGAGCCACGTCAGGGCTTCATCAATGCTCTCAAAGCCACCTATTCTCCCGGAGGTGACAGTCCCCTTGTCCTGGGCAGGGCTCCCATTGAGGTGCAGCTGCACCTTCCTCATGGGGACAGTTTCCCCTGGGGTCTTTTTGGCCTTGGTGGCCTCGTCCTCCCCATCTCCCTCGGGCTGGGGGCTCTTCCAAGCCTGCTCCTCCAGCTTTGCCTTCCATTCCAAGTAGGAAGGGCGCCTGGTCTCCAGTCTCAGCTTCTCTGTCAATGCCTTGAGGGTCCTCAGGTGATCATCTGGAGGAGGAAGCCCCCCAGAGCCAGCATCCATGCTGTCCACAGCTGCTTCTATTTGGATTTGGGGCACAGACATCCTCTCTGGGAGTCCAAAGGCATAGAGGTGGGCTGGAAAGGACCAGGGATGGAGATGAGAACCCTCGAGGTTTGACCAGGTGTCACGAGGTGCTCAGCACAGCTCCCTGGAGGACAGCTGGGGTGTGGGTCCCTGCTCAAGCATCAAACCAGCCTTGGATGAACACCTAGGGGGAAAAAAAAAAAAAAAAAAAAAGGTTTGGTTTTGAGAAGGAAAAGAGAGTGAGGAAAGAGAGACAGCTCTTGCTGGAGCAGGGGAGTGAGGGTTTTGGGAGAGGCTCAGTGCCAAGGTGCTGCTGGGGAGGGTGACCTCAGCCCGGTTATCTGAGTGCTCTGGGGCAGGAACAGACAGGCTCTGGCTTTTAGCAAAGCTCTGGTTACCTACACCTCCAATCTTAACTCAAGGGGCCATGGAAGGGTTGCCAAGAAGGCCAGGACACATTCCCAGACCCCAAAGTCCTCTGGAGACAGCAGTGGCTGCTGCTGGATGTTGGGCTGTCTGGTTTTGCTGATTTTCTGTCTGGCAAACCCACATTTCCCCATCTGGACAAACCAGGTCCAGATGAAATAGGACAACCTGAAAGAGGGGAAGTTTAGATTAAACATTAGGGAGAAATTCTTCCTTCTGAGGGTGGGGAGGCCCTGACACAGGGTGCCCAGAGAAGCTGTGGCTGCCCTTGGATCCCTGGAAGTGTCCAAGGCCAGGCTGGATGGGGCTTGGAGCAGCCTGGGATAGTGGAAGGTGTCCCTGCCATGGCAGGGGGTGGAACTGGATGATCCTTAAGGTCCCTTTCAACCCAAACCATTCTGTGATTCTGTGAATCCAAGAGTTTGAGTCAAAAGGAGAACTGGAAAAAGGGATTTATTCTTCCCCACACCCCCTCCAGTTTTACAGATCTGGGTTTAGTTCTGGCTTTGCTAAGGCTGCAGCCTGAGGATTCAGCTCCCTCCTGATCCTCTGGCTCCAGTCAGGAATGTGGTCCCAGCCATGTGAGGAACTAACTGGGATGGTTTGGTTTCAGACACCCAGGGAGATTTGGGCTCGTGGTTTCCCCACTGGCCACGTCCAGTTTGTCCAGTGGGAGTGGTCCCTTGTGAACGCCCCTTAGGAGCAGAAGCACAGAGAAGCCAGGAGCTTCCTCCCCACTTCTCCTCCTGTCAGCACTCATGGAAGCTGTGCCCAAAGCTGCTCTGACAAACCCTGGAGGGGCAGGGGACTCCAACAACTCTTCAAGAGTTAAGCTCAGGCAGCTTCTGTACTTATTTGCCAGCAGGATCAGATAAGAGACATTCTCAAGGTCGTGTGCTCATCTATAGCTGAGCTAGGAATAGATCCAGAGCTCTCCTCCGAACAGAACAAAATACTTTTCTGCCTGCCTGGTGAGATGCCTGGAAAACCAGGCAGGATGTGTGCAGCTTCCTAGAGTCACTCAGCCATTCTTCTGCCTGCCATTCCCACAAAGGCATGTGCAGCTCTGAAATCCAGACCATAATTACGCCTCTCCAACCTTTTCAGTACGAAGATTCAATTTAAAATAAACACCGAGTGAGAGCAAGACTTATCCCAACAATTGTGTGGGGGCACATGAGCTGAAGGAGGAGTTGATAGTGTACACACAGACAGTGTGGGGGTGGAGAATTAGTCATGTTGTGGTCTCCTTCCTGCTCCTATTTATGTTAATGAGAGTTTTACAGGGAGAGGGAGCACTCACAGGCACTGTCAGGTTGAAGCCAACACTTCTCGTGCCTGGAACAGAAACAATTTTCCTTTTTCTGTTGAAAAAGAGAGGGGGAAAGCAGTGGGCTGCCCTGTTGGAGAGGTGCTCTGCAGGGCTCATGTTGATGAATTTACCTTTCCTCCATCTCCAGCCTCCCCAAATCAATAAAGGAAAACAAATAATGACTCTAAAGACCTCGTTTCTGAGCTTTTTTTTCCTGTCCTATGAGATCTCTGTGGAGATTGCTGAGGGTGGCCCAAGCCCAGCAGTCCAAGAATCTGCTGCACTTCCACACTGGGCTGCTGGATTTCCTAATCCCCACCAAAGATCATATTTTTATCATTTTCTGAATGCCACAGCTACAAAGCAGAGCCCCACACCAACTCTTTTGTCCTGTTCTTCAGCATGTCTGGAATCCTCGGGGTGGCAATGGCCCCTGGTATTTGAGCCATGAGCCCAGCTCAGTTAACATTTAGAGCATTGGACCATGAAAACAGGACAGCAGCTCGGAGCATCCCCTTTGTCACAGCCCTGCTGTCATCTCCCCCTCCCTGTCACCACAACTCCCAGCAGCTTTGGAGAAGATTTGGTTTTTCTACCCTAAAAGCAGCATTGATTCCGCCTATCCCTCACTCTCTGTCTGGTGTAACATGAAACGTCTCGTTCCCTCTCAGCCCCCAAAATTGGCAGCTCTCCTCCCCAGCCTGTCCAAACTCTGGAGTGACAGAAGAGAGCCACCTCTAGTTTCCTGTCAATATCTTGGACTTGGATCAAAGCCCCGCTGTGGAGAAAGAGATCTGAAAGTTGTAAGTGTGTGAAAAATGCCCTTGTGCTGTAACACAAACCCTTTGGTGCCTGAGAGTTACCAAATTCCCAGGAACAAACCTGCCTCTGGCTCAAATCCACATACTCCCAGCCTCCCTGCCCTGGGCTTGGCTCCCCCCTGGGCTGGCCTGTGTGAGGGGATTTAAGTGATTAATCCTTGATTTGTCTCATTATCACACTTGCCACAGGGAGTTCCTGCCACCCCTAATTAGGAGTAACGAGTTTAGCCCCAAACAGGTTGAGGGTTTGCTCACTAGGAATCTCTGCTCAGGGGTTCCCCCCTTCCCTTAGATGAATCCTCAGAGCACAGAACACAACAGGTCACTGAGACAACAACAAAAAAATATTTAATTTCTTTCTTGTATCAGGTTTCCTCTGGAGAAGTCAACTGACCTACCCCAAGGGATCAGCAGAAGCACAAGTCTGGGATGGAGAAATAATAGGAATGTTAAACTGGGAGTTCAACAATTAGCCAAGGTGGAGTTGTGGGGAGCAAATTATTCTCTTTCCCTTCACTATTCCTGGTGGACTGTGGATTCATGTAACACCATTTTTTATTGCAGAGGAGCAGAGTGACTGCAGGAGTCTGTGTTAGAGGAATTCTGTTCCTCTGGAGGCTGGAAAGAAAAAAAAATCCTTAATATGAGACAAAACCTCAGCTGACAGAAGCCCTTTTGCCCACACAGACCACGGGTGACACTTCTGGCATGGAGCAAACAGGGCAGAGGCAATGGTTCAGCCTGTGAATGAGCTTAAAATGAATGGGAATGAGCCCCTTTGTACCTCAGTTTCCCTCCCACTGAGAAGTCAGTCTGTACAACTGGCCCTCAGGGGAAAAGCTCTGAGGATTTTCTGAGATACACAGAATTCACCCCTGGTGTCTCCAGGTCTCATCTGGGTGCCCATGCTCGCACTCCAGTGGTTGCAGGGACACCCCCTAAGATCCATGGGATGTGATTCCCCTGATCATTTGCTCTGGAGGTTTGCACAGGGGTCACCCTGGGCCGTGCAGATACCCCCTGATCCTACAGAGGAAATCCCTGGAGTAAATCCAAGCTGCTCACATCACTGTCCAGCTCTGCAGCTCCCAGCACCTGAGCCTGAAAAGGTGGGATGGAGGAACACCGAGGTGGGGGACAGTGCCTGCTGGGCAGGGAGAGCTGTGTTTGCCTCCCTCCTTGCACAGCAATGACACAGGGATGGGGTGGGGGTGACTGACCCCCTTGGAGGTCCCTGACCCCCCCTGGGTGGCTGCTGCAGGTTGGGAGAGGGGCAGAGAGGAGGAGATGCCTGTGAGAAGGGGTTGCCATAGCAATGGAGTAAGGGAGGACTCTGGCAGCTCACAGAGGTGGATGATGTTCCAGAGCATCCTCAGGGCAGCAGAGACTCAGAGGCCTCAGGAATGGGGTGAGGGAAGGAGAGACCCATCAGGATCAACACTGCAGCTCCCTGGAGCTGGTGGCTCCCTTTCAGCGTGGCTGCACATCACTCATTCCTTTCCCCGTGCCAGAATGAGCTCTGTCAGAGAGGAGCTGCTGTGCTGTGTGGATTTGGTGAGCTGGGGGGCTCCTCACGCTGCCAGAGCCCCCCCATCCTGCTGCTCCTGCAGAGGTGGAGAACAAATCCCCAGCCACCCCACTGATTCCAAGGAGAGCTGATTTCTCTGGATTTTATTATCCAGTGTTTACCCACCCAATCCTTTTCTGTAGCAGCTGAAATCCTCTCCTGCAGAAAACCAGCCTGGTCCCAAAGTGACCTTCAGCTTCCCTTCCTCTAAAAGGACAAAATTCCAGCACCATGAAGAGCTGTCTGATCCTGAAGCCAGGACACTCTCCAGGGCTGGAATTGGTCCTGTCAGGATCAGATGCTCTCTGCCTGCTCAGGATGGTTGGGACAGGATGCAAAGGGCTCTGCCCATGCTGGAGGAGTCATGGCAGAGCCTCAGTGACAATGAACAGGTGCCCATGGACACCTTCCAGCCACATTCCTGTCTGTGAGCTTGGTCCTTTCTCCATGGAAAAATGACAGCACTGGTGAGACCAAAATGGGCATTACAGGCATAGATGTGGATGTGGCATTCACAGAAAAATGAGGAAAAGGGAAAAAGAGGGGCTTTGCATACACATATGATCTGGAGCAGGGCAAGGGTTTGTTCTGGCACATCCTTCTGCCCAAATGGCCTCCAGAAAGAGCCCTGAATACTGCAAGGGAGGAGGGGAGAGCAGTGGGGGCTGCAGAAAATCCATCAGAGGAGTGGAGGGATGCAGAGATGGCTGCCCCAGCTCTGGAAGTGTCCAAGGCCAGGTTGGACAGGGCTTTTGGAGCATCCTGGGATAGTGGAAGGTGTCCCTGCCCATGGCAGGGGCTGGATGAACTTTATGCAAGGGACCTCCCTTCCAGCCCAAACCATTTTGTGATTCTGTGAGATTAGAGGGGACCAGTTTGCACTCCCTGCCTCAAGGCACTTCTCCCTGGCTGATTTCCAGCATCAGTAGAGTCAGAACCTGTTTCAATAAACACATCTGCACCTTCCTGCCCGACTACACCCCATCCCTCCTGCATCCCCCACACAGCTCCTAGCAGGCTCCTGGTGAGGGAGCAGGGCTGAGGCTGCTGCCTGCTTCAGGTGGACCCTTGCAGCTCCATTTTCAGACCAGTTAGACTCCCCTCCATCAGCAGATTTCCAGGCTTTGTCTGGAAATCCTGCACGAAGAAGTATTTGGCATTCCAGCAAACCAGTCTGGAAGTAGCTGCAAACTGGGGAGCTGGATGGGGTCAATGCTTTCAGCCCATCAGCCCAAAGCAGGCAGGATTCCTCTGAGGAGGAAAAGGACTAAGGAGCAGAAGCCAAGGCAAGTTTCCAGGCTCTTGGTGAAGTCACCATGCCCACCCTCGCTGTGTTTTCCTGAGGTCTGGGGAGTCAGGGATTATGGGCAAAGGTTTCTTCTCCACTCACTGCCGCAGGCTCCCAGCAGGTTTTGGAGCTAATCTGGGCTAATCTGGGAGGTGGCCCAGCTAACCTGTTCCCAGAGATGTCCCCGAAGGATCTGGGGCCTGGCACAGCTGGCTGTTCCCCTTTTTTCCCTGCTGCCACCCCAAGCACGGCAGGGACAGGCGGGGAGCTCTGTGCCCGTGTGCCCAGGGTAATGAAAAGGGCTGGGATTCCTTGGGAATGAGCCAGGGCAGGCTGAGAAATGCTCTCTTCCCAGGAGACTGGTACAGAGAATTATTTTTTCCCCCAAATGCAGCATGCAAGGGTGTGTTTTCAGAAACAAAAAAAACCCAAAAAACCAAACCAAAATAAAAACCGAACTATTTTATTCTTAATTTTTTGTGGCTTTTGTTTTGTTTTTTTTTTTGTGTTTTTGTTTTGTTTTGTTGGGGTTTTTTTGTTTGGTTGTTTTTTGGAGGTTTTTTTTGTGGTTTTTTTTTGTTTGTTTGTTTGTTTGGGGTTTTTTGTTTGTTTTTTTGGGTTTTTTTTGTTTTGTTGAGCTCCGATCTGCCCAGCACCGAGCTCAGCCCCTGCAGGGACAACACCAAGGCCAGCTCCCACTGGAGACCCCCAGGCTCCAAGTTAACATGATCAGGGGAGTGGGGTCAGCCCCTCGGTGACCCCCTAATCCCCTTTACATGCCCCCTGTCCCATCCAATTATCCAAACCATGATGGTCCAACCTCTGTCCTCAGACCTGTCTTCTCCCAGTGCTGAGCTGCACTGTGGGATTTAACATCATTTAACATCAGCTGCAAACAGACCCTCCTCTCCCTTCCCCCAGAAGGGCTACGCTGCTCTGAGGCTGATTGTTTTTATTTTTTTTTTTTTTCTTTTTCCCTGCAGTGTCTCTGCTACATTCTGCAAACACCTAATGGCTGCAGGGCTGTTGCAAGCCCGGTGCCCGGCAGAATCCGGATTCCTCCCGTTTTGCTGGATTTTTGTGGTGTACAGACCCCCCCCCACCACCATGAAGGATGGGGGGACTTTAATGGGAATTTGAAAGCGGAGAAGAGCTGGGCTGCAAAAACCAGCAGCAAGCTCCCGTGTGCTGAAATGATGGCTGGCACAGAGCGATCCCACAGCAGCCAAAACAGGCTCGTTCCCGCTGGAAAGTGGCGAGTTCCTCGGCTACGGGGGATGAGCAGACAAAGCCAGAGGACTCAGCTGGCACAGCTCCTCGCTGGAAGCCAGGAACTTGGTTTTTTGGTTTTCATCCATTTCGCCCTCCAGCCCCCATCCTCCTCTGAGGTTCTCCATGCAGAAAAGCTCCGGAGGGCGCAGGATTGTGGAATAGCAGGGGGAGCATGGCAGGGAAACAGGGAGGGGTGTCCTTAGAGAGGTGCCTGCGGTGGGAGAGGTGTCCGGCAGCCCGGAGGGAGCGGGGCCAGGCTGGACGATGAGGATGGTGCCCTGGTGTGCAGCATCCCGGGGCTTGCACAAACACCCGTGCTGGGAGAGCTGTGGGCTGCCGCTATTATTCTAACAATTAGCCCCAAGCTGTTACAAAGGGCTCTGAAGAAGTTCTGGCTGTTTTTTTTTCTTTTGTTTGTTTTTTTTTTAACCCCCCCCTCTTTAGTGTAAACGTGAGCTGCGAGGGCCAGACCTGAGCAGGTGCAGACCTGCTCTGCTCAGCGCACGGTGCCCGATTCAAAAAGCCGAGGCAGCTACGCCCTGCGAGGCCACCACGCTCATCCCACCATGTCTGCACTGCACAACCCCAAAATCCTGCCCAGGGCTCCTGCACATCCCAGGCTGGGGGCAGAGGGAGCAACAGGTGATTGTCCCGAAAGCCGGGCAGCATCTCCCCTGTCACACCTCACCCAGCGCGGAAAAATCCTCCTGGAGGGGGTGAGAAGCCCGCACGCTGCTCCCAAAATCCACAAACATCATCGGGAAGGAGGATTCAGGCATTCCCAGTCAATGGGGAGCCGGCCATCTCCAGATCTCCAGGGAATGTCGAGGCAGGAGATCGAGGCTGGGGGGCCACACTTTGCAAAGCCCAGCCCTACAAAACCACAGCAGAACCAGACCCCAAAGTGGTGCTCGCTGGGGTCCCCATCACCCCTCACTGCTGCTCCCCAGGGACCTGCTCCTGGCCGGGGGTCTCCTCCGACAGCTCCCGTGCTGGGTGTCCCCAGGGTGGCTCTGTCCCCCCGAGCCATCAAAAGCGACAAACTTACCGGGGCTGGGATCAGAGAGGGGATGGCACGGACATCTCGGCTCCCTCCTTCCACCTCGGGTCCCCAACTTGGTGTTTGCAGAGCGGTGTCACCACTGCCTCCCGGAGTCTGTCTCATCCTCCTCCTCTGTGTCTCGCTTCAGAAATCCGTGTGTGTGTGGTGGTTGGTTTGTTTTTCGTGCTTTTTTTTTTTTTTTTTTTTTTTTTGGGACTTTTTTTTTTTTTTTTTTTTTTTTTCCCCAGCGGTTGCGTCAGGGCTGTTGCCTGGAGACAGGCGAGCTATTCCAGTTTGAGCTTTTCAGTGCCGATTTCCTCTCTCTCTTTCATTCATACCACCAAGCCCTGAACCCACCTCCCACCAAGCAATAACCCTGGAGAGACCTGAAAAGGGAGGAGCTGCACAGCCCGGGTCCTAAACATCCTCCGGCACCCAGGAGAGGCAGGAGGACCAGCGATGCTTTCGGCGTGGAGAACAGGGATGGAGCGGTCCAGTGAAGGGCAGGAACCCTCAAGGCTTGCACTTGAACCTGTGGCTCTTCCCGACACCAACCCGCTGGTGTCCCCATGCTGATCGTGTTTCTTACCATGGACATCAGCCCCCCCCAGGAGATTGGGATCCTCTGGCACTCGGGAGAGCTTTGGGATAAATTTTTCGGGGTGTCACAGCTTGCCCACGGTCACTACGTGTGCCCAAGGGAATTTTGCAAGGATGCTTCAGCATCTCTGGGAAGCCCCAGGGTGGTTCCTTGGGCCATCCTGGCTGGTACCATCCATCCCAGGCAAAATCCAGCTTAGGAACCAGCCTGTGCCTGAATTTGGGGAAGCTCCAAGTTTTTTTTTTTTCCTTCCTTCCTTCCTTCCTTCCTTCCTTCCTTCCTTCCTTCCTTCC